GATTTGGCCAGGCTCCAACAAACCGCAGGTGCGAAATGGCTAACACACATGCGAGACCGCAGGTGCGGTAAAGGAGCCGCAAGTGCAAAAATTGAGTTTTAATGAAATGTCGCAGATGTGACCTTGAGTTCCGCAGAAGCGGGACCGCAGGTGCGGTCCCAGAGCCGCAGATGCGGTTCCACTGTTCAGAAAAGGGGGCAGAACGAGGGTTTAGTCTCAAAACTTGGAAAAATTGATTTGGGAGCTCGGATTGGCGATTGTGAGAGAGATTTTTCACCTAGGTGTTTTGGGTAAGTAATTCTTACTCGGTTTTGATTAATTTCCACGAATCTATGCTCAAATTCATCCATTAAATTCGAATTTGGGGTGTAAAAATTGGAGAAAAGTTGAAAAAGTTCTTAGACCTAATATTTGAGTTTGGAGCAAGAATTTGATGTCGGATTAGAGTAATTTCTATATATATGAACTCGTGAGAGTGTGTGGATTCCGAATTTGTATATTTCACCCGATTCCGAGACATGGGCCCGGAGGGCGTTTTGGTCATTTTTCCTTATTTCGCGTATTAGCTTAGAATTAACTAGTGGAATCAGTTGCTTGAAGTTTTATTTACATTATGCAATTGATTTGAATAGATTTGGGCCATTTGGAGTCGAGTACTCGTAGCAAGAGCGTGGTATCGGGTTGATTTTGAGCCGGTTCGAGGTAAGTGGCTTGCCTAACCTTGTGTGAGGGAACTCCCCTTAGGATTTGGTATTGTTGATATTTGAAATGCCTTGTACGTGAGGTGACGAGTGCGTACTTGTGCTAATTGTTGAAAATTCGGTTGTCATTAAGTAACTAGAATTGTGTTTCCCGTTAATATTATTTGCAATTTAAGCGTGCTGTTAGATTAGGGAAGCATGTCTAATTGACTTAATTGCGTATTTGTTCAACTTCCTTATTTGGATAATGTGCAGCATGCTAGGTTAGAAATACTTGTTTTACCTTGGTGTGAAATTTGATTGAATTGAGCATTCTTCGTGTTGCTGCTGTATATTTACTTTGGGACTACGGGACGGTATCCCGGGAGATACCCCTGTATGTTTACTTTGGGACTACGGATTTGTATTCTGGGAGATCCCCTTGCACTTTTATATTGGAACTACGGGACTGCACCTGGTAGATTCCCCCAGTACTGAGTATTTACATTTGGGACTACGGATCGGGATTCCGGTAGATCCCCACGCACTATGAGTTGGACTACGGGACGGTATCCCAGGAGATCCACTGGATATTTACATTTGAACTACGGGACGGTATCCCGGGAGATCCACTGAATATTTATATTTGGGACTACAGGACGGTACCCTGGGAGATCCCCGATTGTTATCTATGTGTGAGCTGTAATCTTTTCCGTGATTATTTTGTCTCTGTTCTAGCTGTTGTTGTTCTTTCTATCCTGTGTTACTTCTTACTGTTGCACTTAACTATAATGTCTTATTCTATACTGTTATACCTTGTATTTCATTTAACCTCAGTAGGGCCCTGACTTTCCTCATCACTACCCGATCGAGGTTAGGCTTGGCACTTACAGAGTACCGCTGTGGTGTACTCATGCCCTTTCTGTGCATGTTTTTCATGTGCAGATCCGGGTACTCTCACTCAGTCTTATCACTATTGAGGCGAGGCAGTTTTGTAGAGACTTCGAGGTATATCTGCCGCGTCCGCGGACCAAGGAGTCCCTTTCTATTCTCTGTACTAGTTTAGCCCTTCTGTATTTTCCTTGTTGATAGACATTTCTGGAGTTAGAGCTTTTTATGTATCTCTTAGCTTGTGATTCATGGGATTCCGGATTTTGGGAATTGTTCAGTTTTTTAGATCTTGTATTGGTACATGCGAGCGGCATCTTAAACACTTCTATATTTGTTTATCTTCAGTTTTTATTAGTTTTCCTTATTTTGTTCCTTGATCCGCAAATTGTTAGGCTTACCTAGTCGTAGAGGCTAGATGTCGTCACGACAGTTCACGGAGGGCGAACTTGGGTCGTGACAAGAATTCCCCCACTTTGTTTCATAAACAATAGCACACACAATCACTCAACCAAATCCTCACCACAATATTAACATTAATCAGAAGGAAATGGGGAATCAGGGGAAAAGACTATAGGAACTCAGAATTAAGGAAGAAGCATGCAATACAGCCACGAGAAAGAGGGAAGAGAATCACATACCATATGCCTGAGCAAGATGATGTAAACGAGGTGAGTAATCTATGCAATCCGATCTTTTGATCTTTTCTCTTTGCTTCTCCTTTTTTTTTTTTGCTTTTGATCGCGTTTCAGTGTTTGTGTGTGATGAGAGTGAGGGTGTGATTAACTATGCAAAAGGAGTTAGGGTTTTGTACCTGTGCGTTTTGCGGCGGGTAAGTCCATCGCATAACACATTATGCGGTCGCATATGTGTTGTGCGATGGATTACTGACTAGGTTGCCCAACCTTAATTTGCGATGCATTCTGCGGTCGCAAAGTTGTTATGCGGGCCGCAGAAATAAAAAGCTTATTTTAGAACACCCAATTTGCTAATTTTTCTGCCTGTGTCTGCGATGACTATGCGGTTTGCAAAGTCATTATGCGACTGCATAGTTGCCGCAAACCATGGACCTTACTTTCCTTCATTTTCCTCAGCACTAGCATCTTGTTCAAGATATTTTGGACTACCTGCATTCTAACACACATTTCAACCTGCTCAAAACTATCACTTAAACCTACATAAATGAAAAACTAACAAAAGAGTGTTACCACACATGGGTTGCCTCCCAAGAAGCGCTTGATTTAATGTCGCGGCACGACGATGTTGACCCCATTTGGGCTATTCAGTGGTGGGGCAATTGTTGGACTTTCCTTTAGAGCGAATTTTTCTATTAAATGCCTTTCACCTGTGGTACCAAGGTAATGCTTGACACGTTGACCACTCACTTTGAAAGTTCGAGTCCCATCTTCCGACTCCAATTCAATAGCACCATAGGGGGACACACTCATAACTTTGAATGGGCCGGACCATTTGGATTTGAGTTTGCCCGGAAATAACTTGAGTCTTGAGTTGAAGAGTAAGACTAAGTCGCCAGAATTGAATTCCCGCTTCAAGATGCCATTCTGTAAGGTGGAATTGATATAGGCTGCGTGCCTGGCATCACATCGATCCCAAAATCAATCTCCCTGTCTGGAGGAATCCCAGGGAGCTCATCTGGAAAGGCATCCGGGAATTCATTCACAACTGGTACAGACTCAAGGCTAAGTGCCTCGGCATTGGTGTCCGTAACCCGAACTAGATGATAGATACACCCCTTCTTGATCATCTTGTTAGCCTTAAGGTAGGAAACTAACCGACCTCTAGGCA